GGCCTGCGCTCCGGGGACTGGCCCGCTGGCGAGTGCAGGATGCCCTTGGCCTTCTGGTCCTTCTTGTACTTCATGCGCCGGTTCTGGAACCAGATCTTGATTTGGCGCTCGGTGAGGTTCAGCAGGTTGGCCATCTCCACGCGGCGTGGCCGGCACAAGTAGCGGTTGAAGTGGAATTCCTTCTCCAACTCCACCAGCTGCGCACTCGTGTACGCGGTGCGCACCCGCTTGGACGCTGGGCCCGGCGGGCTCTTGTCCTCGCAGCTCTCTCCTGGGCAGGGAGGGAGAGAGGGGGGACGCTGAGAGGGAGAGGTGGGGGCACCCAGGGCTGCAAAGAAGTGCTTCCCTGGTTCCCTCCTCTTCCCCCCACTTTAATCCTGGCTGGATTGGGGAGGGGCGTTTGAGAGGTGAGATTCTAAGGAGGAACTCACTGCCCCTGGCCTACCAATCAGTCGCACCTGAAACACCCATCTGCCGGCTGAGGTTTGATTCCCTCTGCCCAACCCCTCCCCGCCAGCCTAGTCCATCATCTGGTCCCAAAGGCCTTGGAGGAGTTTAATGGGAGACTAGTAGCAGCTGGTAAGGCCTCCCCTCTGCCAAAGAGGGGCCAGACTTCTTTGAACACTACCCTCTGCTAAGGGGTGTGGGGGAGGGAACAGCCCCAGCCTGCCTTGCTCAGGGTCTGCCTCTTGGGCAAAGCACCCAGGAAGCATGGACTGAGGGTGGAGATCTTAGCACCTCACTCCAGCCCAGCCGCACCCAAATGCAGGGAGGTGATAAACCATAAAAATACTGCCCCAGGTTTTAGGGGACCCAACACCAGGCTGGGAGCATTTTTAGTATCGCAGTGCTAGGACCAGCAGCCTCAACACTGTTTTCCACCACCCTTGCCACCTCTCAGCAGCTTGTCCACTCCCTCACTGGGAAGACAAATGGATTTCTCCTGGGAGGGAGGGCCTTCTCAGGCAGCTGGGAAGGAGGGGCGGGAGAAGGAGCTTAGGGCTGGAAGATACTTTTCCCTCAGCAGCAGCAGTCCCAGAGAGCAGCAGGCAAACCAGAGACCTGGTGTGCTAACAAGCTAGCTGCATTCCGGGCTTCACACTGACCCTGAATGGATAAGCAAGTTCACCTACTCTGAAGATAAGCCACATCAGAGAATACAAGGCCAAACAATTTCAGGAACCAAACCAGCTGAGAAGAGAGAGGAAGCAGGCCTCAGAGCTCCTGTCCCTGCCCATCTTCTTCCACACACCCTGATGGGCCTGCAGAAGAGCTTCTCTACTTGAGGGTCTCCCTTTCCAGGGAGAGGAACACAACCGGAGGCTACTCCTGTTTCAGAGCATATCCTCTTGGGGTGGGGGTTGGGGGGTCTGGCCTGTGGGCCTGGCTGTATAAGGCCCACGAAATCGAAATCATTTGGTCTGGCCCTGCCAAGGCATGTGGGGTGAGTTAATTAAATGTTTGACCAAATATAGCAGGCTAATTTTTAAGTTGATAATTTTGTATGGCTTGAGAATGATGTTATAAATATACAAATGGTGCTTAGCAGAAAAAGGGTTCCCCACCCCTGCCCTAGGATATGCTCCTCCCTATATTATAGATTTGCTGGGATGGGGAGAATTGGACAGAGGTGGGCCAAATAGATCCCTTGGTTATGCTTTGGAGGCCCTGGTTAGATTCAAGTGCACCACTTTGTTATTTTATGGTCTTGGGCAAGTCACTTATCATCTCTAATAGTTTCCTTACCTATAAAATGGGAATATTATCATATACCTGCCTCAGAGGGTTCTTTGAAAAATTAAATAAGAGAATGCTTGTAAAGCACTTAGCATGTTCTTAAACATAGCACTCCACAGACTTTAGTTCTTATTAATTTAAGAGACTGGGATTCATGTGATAGGGACTACATAACATCCTTAACCAAGTTTTGAAGGGCTATTGGATGGAAAAACGGAGCTGAGTTATGACCAGCAGCCTAGGAAAGCAGATATTAGGTCAGTAGAAAGAGTGTCTATTAAGAACTATGAAATTTGCCCAGCCATGCCACCAACAGCCTGAAATGGAAGGGAGCCCCTGTCACTGTAAGGGTATAACCCCCAATCAGGGACACTATAAAGAAGGGACATTTCTGTGTCAGTAGGAGGTTAGCGATATGGCCTCCCAGGTTGCACCTCCAGCCCTGAGTCTCTTGGTTCCTAGGAGAGCTAGCTTCTTGGGGTCAGTGTGGAGGGGATGTAGCCCAGGGGTAAGCTCCCTCGAAGAGCTACCTGCAGTGGTACAGCTGTTCTTCTGCTTGGAGTTCTGTCGGGACTCTTTCATCCAAGGGAAGATCTGCTTGCTGATGGTGGCTGAAGAGCCAGAAGCATTGGGCCCACCCTTGACCTTCTTGGCAGGCACTCCACCTCCAGGATTGGTGGGCGAGGAAGGTGGCAGGGTTGGTGGTGGAGGAGGGGGCTGTGGTGGCTGCTGCTCTGAGTTCAGACCAGGAGGCTGGCTGCTACCCCCACCCTGGCTGTTCCCAGTGCCAGGCCGCATGCAGCTGCCATTGAGTTCAGCCGCCTTGTGGGCTGGCGCTCGCAGAGGTGCAGAGCTCTGGATGGAGCAGGCAGAACCTGGGTATTCAGTGTCCAGAGAGTTGGTAGCAGTAGGGGGTGGAAAAGGCTGATGGGGCGCACTGTAGCCATATGTGTCAGTGGCTTTGCTGTAGCCATAGCCTCCAAAGAGTCCTGGGTTTTCATAGTAAGCAGCCTTCTGCATCGTGCACTCCGGAAGCTCCAGGGCCTGCTGACCCTGCTCAAATAACATTGACCACCACTGTCTCCTTCACTGCCACCTCCGATGTCTGCCAAGTCCTGAGAGAACTGGGGCAGCCCCAGGTTCCAGGTGACCTGCAGAGAAGAAAAGTGAGAGGCCCAGCAGCTCTGTCATTGGCAAGACCAATCAATATAGAGGTACTAGTTTAGGCTCTCTGCTTCTCACCCACTTAAAAGTGGGGGATTTGGAATTTTATGAAGTTCAACTTATATGAACCTTTGGAAAAGTAAGAAGGAATTTCTCATAAACATATGAAATGATTCCTTCTCTCTAGCTACGTCTAAGGGAAGGGGCTTTTCTTTCTTTTTCTTTTTTTTCAGATACAACTTTCCTCCTGAAAGAGTATCAATTTAGCATTTGAAACTGCATGGAAAAGCACTTGTGGCCTCATACATTTTAATAGCTGATTCTCCCACTTGACTTTGAGCTTCTTGTAGGCAGGGACTATATATATGGCTAATATCTAGCCCAGTGCCCCACATGTAGTAAGTGCAATAAATGCTTGTTGAATGACTGACTGAATGGATCAATCAACCACAGAGCCATCTCAGGGTTTTGATGGGCAAAAGAAAGCCATATAACAGACAGAGCTCTCAAAAAAAGTATCTCTCCCACCTGGTTTCAAAATCACAGCATCCTTCATGAAGACCCAGATAGTCCACTTTCCGGTGACAGGGTGAAAATCAGCCCAGTTAGCTCTGTGGTCAGCACTGTGAAATCCACTAGGAAATAAAAACCAAGAAGAGGACTTAAAGACTCCCAGACTTACTTTTAGGCTAGAAAATGTTTCTTTTTTTTTTCATCTACATTTTTTTTAGACTCTTAACTTGGTTTTCTGCTACTTTTAAATGGATACCACTGAAAATGGGTGAAGAGATTTAGAATTTGAAATGCATGGAGCACAGGTGACTAGTACATGCTTTATATTATTACTATCATTTTTATCCTGCATCTATTGTATAGATATTATTATAGACCTCTGCTCTGGATCATCCATTCTACCACCACCACCCAACTCACAACCAGTGAGAGAGCCTCTTTTGGCATGATGAATGGACCCAGAATTAGAAGAAGGGAAAAACTAAGAAAAATTCTACCCCTTTTGTGTCTTCTGACTCTTGATGGGGGTTTCCCTTCTCACCCATCCACCCCTTCTCCTGAAAGGCTCCTAAGGAGTTAAAGTATAACTAATACCATTCAACCACTTTTGTCTGCTCCATAAAGGAAACTCATAGGTCAGCTCCCTGGTCTTACCTCTTGATCTCTTCTTTCAGGCAACTTTCCTACCCCACAACTCCCTGGCTTACATCATGGTCACCATGATGGACCATATTATCTAGACAACTTATGTGGCCTACTTACTAGTACCAAAATTGCTCCTCTGGTCATTCATCTCCCCTCCACTTTCACCAAAAAGCTAGCCTGATTTTTAAAAAAATATTCATACCCTTCATTTGGTAGTATTATTGCCCATTTTTGTTTTAAAATATAAGTGAATATACCATTTATCTTGATAAAAGACAGGCCCTTCTCAATGGGACAATAGAATACTAGGATGTTATGTCTTAGGAATTGTTTCTATTATTGTTATTAAATGTATGCAATTAGGATATCTATCCAACAAAGATGGTCTTAATCTTTCTTTCAGTTCATTTTCTATATCATCCTCTGACTCTTAAAGTTACTGAATACCAAGTAGACAGCTACCTCCTCATCCTGTGACTAATATTTACATGTGTGTACGCCCAGGCAAAAGTGCCAGGTACTCTGGGTTTCCTTAAGTTTTGGTACTTCCCTGGGATCCTGCTTCCAGTCTTAAACTTTGGGCCCTCTGGATGTCAAAATGGTCACATTTGACACTGAGACCACCAGAATCACTGCTGCTTCTGTCCTTCCACTTACAACTGTGGAAGCAAAACATCCCCCTCTTGCCTCCTACGTTGACCAAGTTTATCTTGCTAGGTGGACCAGTCATACTAAACCGCTTCTTTAAGAACTGACCAGGTCTTCGAAACAGATGGCTTTACATATATACTCCTATGGCATATTCCTAGAAAACACTCTGTGTACAGACGTCAAAAGTGCAAATACTGGGCAGCTTCATGAGTAACCACAGAGTCTGTTCTCTGTTTTCATTGTATTAAGGAATTTCAAGGCCCACACAATGATGATTGGCCACCCTAAGGTCCATTTCCCCCAGAAGCTAGGGCAGCAGGCTTCTCATAAATGGGAAGGACTTACCCCTCCCACCACCACCACCAAAAAGTATGTAGTCCCCTCCTAAAACAGAACCTGAGAATATTGTTACAAAACTGTTAAAAAAAAAAAAAAAGCTTATTTCTTTCCAGAAATCCCTGCTCCTTGTGAACTCTGCTTGAACCTAAAAAGCAGGAATGGGTCATAAATCACTTGGACAATGGTCAACTGTTCAGTGGCTCATCTTTTCGATCCCCCCCCCCCCTTTTTTTTTTTCTTTAAGGCTTTCTTTTCTCGCCCTTTGGTATCTCTGCTCATTTGGGCTCCAGGACCCAAATGCCTTGGGGTGAAGACAAGCCCTGTAGGGGGAGGGGCAGTCTTCCAAGTCCTCAGCTGCCCTTTCCTCTCACTCCTCCTCCCCTTCAGCCCCAGGACCAGGGAACCAGGCCGGGCAGCCTCCCCAGAACCCTGCCTGCGCCATCCTCGGCCCCTCCGGGGAAAGGAGCGCCAAATGGGGGTCTGGCTTGTCCTTTCTCGAGGTCCCAGGGAATTGCCCAACTTAGTCCAGAGGCCCAACCACAGGCGGGGCTCCCGGGTCCCCAGCGGGAAGGACAGCAGCCTCTGAGCGCCCACCACCGCTCCCCAGGCCGGGCTGCTTTGTCCCGCCGCACCCACCGCGCCTCCGAAACAGCTGAATCCAGATACTTGCTCACTGCACTTAATTCTGCCCGAGATCAATACCTAATATGATACCGAATAAATAAAAGGCGCTCACAGCGGCCAGGGGACGGGGTTATTAAGCAGCTGGAGCTCTCACGGTGCATATCAATGCACCTGTCATTGTGGTTTGTAACAAAATTTATGACTGCGAGCGCGGCGGCAGTAAACGCTTCAGTAAGGAAAGAAAAGAAAAACACTTCCCCAGGCCCGGCACTTTTCAGAAGTGGAAAACAGTCTCCGCGTAGGAGGAAGCGCAGCAAAAGAATGCCCTACTCCGCACTTTTCCCGGGCCCGCGCCCCGGAGCAGGGCGATTATATAAAGTGGCCGGTGCCGCCTCTCCGAG